CATACAAGACCCTCTAAGAAGCTTAGTTTCTGCCTTGCTTCCAACGTTAGAATCATATCTTAAGCAATTGACTGTTTCATGGCCCCTCCTTGCATCAATCATATCTTTCGATGGATAATTCGTCGAACGAGGTTGAAGATATGATCACTGTGCTACAGTGGAACTGCCGTAGTCTAGTGCCTAAACTAGACTCGTTCAAATTTTTACTTCACAATTCTGATTGTGATATATTTGCTCTCTGTGAAACATGGCTTTCTTCCGATAAAGAACTCAACTTCCACGATTTTAACATTATACGCCTGGATAGAGACGATTCTTATGGAGGAGTACTTTTAGGGATCAAAAAGTGCTACCCTTTCTACAAAATTTCCCTTCCTGCTCTATCCGGCGTCGAAATCGTTGCTTGCCAAATAAATGTGAAGAACAAAGATCTTTGCATAGCTTCAGTATACGTTCCACCAAGAACCTCCATTAGTCGTAGTCAACTCTGGAATCTAGTTTCGATTCTTCCATCCCCAGTATTAATTCTGGGTGATATGAACTCCCATGGTACTGGGTGGGGCGATCTATATGACGACAATAGAGCGGCTATTTTTTACGATTTATGTGACGATTTCAATTTGACTATTTTGAACACTGGTGAAGCGACACGTATAGCAAAACCTCCGGCTCGAGAAAGCCGACTCGACCTATCTTTGTGTTCAAGATCGCTATCATTGGATTGTCAGTGGAAGGTTATCAATGATCCCCATGGTAGCGATCATTTGCCAATTATCATTTCAATAAAGTGTGGCCCTCACTCTGCAGAACCATCTCGGGTTCCATTTGATCTTACAAGGAACATCGACTGGCAGAAATATGCAACGGCGGTGACAATCGGTGTCGAATCAATAGATGCGCTTCCACCATTGGAAGAATATCGATTCCTAGCCGATTTGATTTACAAAAGCTCACTGGAAGCACAAAAAAGAAAAGTTCCAAGTGCACCCTTTAAAAGGAGACCAGCCACACCTGGTTGGGACGAAGAATGCACAAAATTGTATGTAGAAAAATCTGATGCTTTCAAAGCTTTTCGTAGACACAAAACCTCCACTTACTTCGAGGAATATTCAAAGCTTGAGACAAAGCTGAAACAATTAATCAAAGCAAAAAAACGCGGTTATTGGCGCAATTTCGTCGAGGGACTCTCACGAGAAACCTCAATGAACACCTTGTGGAGGGTGGCTCGCAACATGCGTAACCGCTCATCTTTCAATGAGAGTGAAGAATACTCCAACCGATGGATATTCGATTTCGCTAAAAAGGTCTGTCCGGACTCAGTTCCAGCACAAAATATTCTTCGAGAAGCGTCTCCTAGCGGCGGCTCTCTGGATAGACCATTCTCAATGCTGGATTTCTCTATGGCTCTTCTTTCATCGAACAACTCCTCACCGGGAAGCGATATGATTAAATTCAATCTTCTGAAAAATCTCCCAGATATCGCTAAAAGACGCTTGCTAGATTTATTCAATTCCTTGCTAGAAAACAACATTGTACCGCCTGAATGGAGACAGGTCAAAGTAATAGCCATTAAAAAACCTGGCAAATCAGCGTCTGACCATAACTCATACCGTCCGATTGCTATGCTTTCGTGCATTAGGAAATTGTTGGAGAAAATGATCCTTCGGAGACTCGATCACTGGGTCGAATCAAATAACTTGCTATCAAATACACAATTTGGGTTCCGCAAGAGCAAAGGAACAAACGATTGTCTAGCGCTGCTTTCCACAGATATTCAACTGGCCTTTGCACACAAGGAGCAATTGGCTTCAGTATTCTTGGACATTAAGGGGGCTTTTGATTCAGTTTCCATTGAAATTCTGTCAGACAATCTGCACAGATGTGGACTTTCTGGAATTTTAAATAATTTCTTGTACAATTTGTTGTCAGAAAAGCAAATGAACTTTTCCCTTGGACAACTGACAACTTCCAGAATTAGCTACATGGGCCTGCCCCAAGGCTCATGTCTCAGCCCTCTTCTTTATAACTTTTACGTCAAAGATATCGACAACTGTTTGGCAGAACAATGCACGCTAAGACAACTTGCAGATGACGGTGTGGTTTCCGTAAGAGGTCCACATGCCGTGGACTTGCAAGGACCATTGCAAAATTCCTTAGATAACTTGTCTTCTTGGGCTATGAATCTAGGGATCGAATTCTCGCCGCAGAAAACTGAACTGGTAGTGTTTACTCGAAAGCGGTACCCAGCCCAAATGCATCTTAATCTTTTGGGCAGAAACATTACTCAATCATTGTCTTTCAAGTACCTTGGGGTCTGGTTTGATTCAAAGTGCACTTGGAATGCCCATATTACGTATTTGAAGCAAAAATGTCAGCAGAGGATCAACTTTCTCCGTTCAATTTGCGGCACATGGTGGGGTGCTCATCCGGGAGACCTCATAACGCTTTATAAAACAACAATTCTCTCTGTTCTAGAGTACGGCTCTTTCTGCTTTCTCTCGGCAAGAAAAAGTCACCTAATAAAATTGGAACGAATTCAATATCGTTGTCTGCGTATTGCTCTAGGCTGTATGCACTCAACGCATAACATGAGTCTCGAGGTTCTGGCAGGAGTAACACCCCTCCAGAACCGTTTCTGGGAGCTCTCTCTCAGAATACTAATCAAATGCGGAGTGACAAACACACTTATAATTGCTAATTTTGAAGAAATTCTTGGGTTGAACACACAATCTCGATTTATGAGAATCTACCACCACTACATATCATCAGATATGTGTCTTCCTTGTTATACTCCAGACCGTGTTCACTTCACCAATCGCAGTTCCTCAATTGAATATGATCTGACCATGAAACAAGCAACTCATGGGATTCCCGATCAACTTCGACCTATTATTATCCCACGTATTTTTACTGAAAAGTACCAACAAGTCAATTGCATGAAAAGATATTTTACAGACGGGTTCCGTCTCAATGGATCCACTGGCTTCGGTGTCTTCAATGAAAACTCTAGCGCCTTCCGCAAACTTCAGGAACCTTGTTCCGTTTTTGTTGCTGAGCTGGCAGCAATCAACTTCGCATTGGGGATGATTTCCAATATGCCCACAGACCATTACTTCATCTTCTCGGATAGTCTCAGTTCGATTGAGGCTATTCGGTCGATGAAACAAGGTAGGCACTCATCTTATTTCCTTTCAAAGGTAAGGAAGCAGATGTGTGTGCTGGTCGAAAGATCATATATGATTACCTTTGTATGGGTCCCCTCACATTGCTCAATCCCAGGCAATGAGAAGGCGGACTCTCTCGCAAAGGTGGGCGCGCAGGAAGACGAATTGTATGACAGGCAAATTTCACACGATGAATTTTACCATTTAGTGCGTCAGAGTACCTTTTCGAGTTGGCAAACCGATTGGGACACTGGAAATCTTGGACGGTGGTTACATTCAATTATTCCTAATGTTTCTTCGAGAGCGTGGTTTAAAGGCTTGGGCTTAAGTCGTGACTTCATTCGCGTGATGAGTAGACTTATGTCCAACCACTACTCGCTAGATGCTCATCTCAATAGAATAAACCTCGTGGACAGCAACATCTGTCGGTGTGGAAACGGTTACGATGACATCGAACACGCAGTTTGGCAATGTACGGATAATGACGCCGCCAGAGAGCGACTTTTGAATACCCTCGAGGCCCAAGGAAGACAACCCTATGTTCCTATCAGAGACGTGTTGGCAACCCGTGATCTCTGCTATATGCAGTCCGTTTATGTTTTTCTTCAAATGTCTAGTATAAGAATTTAATTCCTTTTGTCTTTTGTCTCTCTTTATTAGTTTTTGTTTGTCTTGTCCCCCCGTCTCGATGAGTCTCATCGTCGCCCACTGGTCACCCACCATAGCCGGTCGAACTCCGGACGAAGCTAGAACAGCACTACCGTTCATACTGGCGACAACGCTCTGATGAGACAACGAAACCCTACCCCAAGCTCCTCCCCTGATCCTATCCTTCGAAAATGTACCCTTCTAACCTCGAGTAAGCCGCGAGTAATCGGCCCAACTCCTACTAGACATAGAATTAAGTGAATTTTGTTACACACAGTGAACAATGAATTATCGGCTCCGTAAAGCTAACGCGATTGAGCCTCCCAAATAAACGAACTAGATAAAAAAAAAAAAAAAAGCAAAAATATATTTGTTTCAATCAGCAGTTTAGAAGGAATCACATTTAATTGGAAAAAATGTCCCATGTCGCATTTTTTTATGGGTCATACTGTACTCACTAGAATAGGCTGGATACGGATCGACTAGCACTCAGAGTATTTGCCAGGATATTCGTTGGAAACGAGTGAGAAAGTTGGAAAGGAACACTAACTCAGTGCCAACATTTCAATAGGGCGTAATTGCATTTGTAATCAATGGCTTTATCCGTCGATTTCTCGCAAATAAAGGCCTACCGCTCCAAATTAACAATGCAAGCTTTTATTCGCGAGAAATCGTCTCCGAAGCTCACCGAACCTTACCGAAGTCTTGCCTTAGGGTTGATGCATATATTATGTCACGCTCTAAGGGGGAGGAGGGATCTAAAATTTTGTGACAAGCAATGCATTAGGTATAGGAAAAACGTCACGATATGGGGGGGGGGGGGGAGGGGGTAATTTTTTGCTCGATTTAGCGTGACATAATTAATGCATGGGCCCTTATGAGAGAAGCTACCCGGAGAGGGAAAGCGATGCGATAATGAGTAGGCACTCATCGGAACACAGAAGCACTGCTGTTCGGTATGTTTGCAGCTGCTCGTGACGTGAAAACCTTCAAGGAGCCATCAGTAATGATGGGATGAGAATGGAGGAGGATGCGTCGTTCCCCCTGAGAGTTTCAATTACAGTATGCGTCGAAATAACTCTAGAGTACAGCGATGCCGGACAGAAATGTTGACCTGGTCCCCTGAAAGATCAATTCTTGATAAGAAATTCCCTTTTTTTATATATAAGAAAACACCTTCATAACCTCGACCAGCTCCATTAGCACGTGTATTATAAATTCTTTAACATCCAACAGTTTAAATTTACTGTCCCTTATATGGAACCATCCTCTGCCAGACCCACAGTTCGATGTACTTTTGGATCTGATGCTTAGCCTCGAGCAGTTCGGGTGAATTGTAACCGCTGATCGAGTTCAGATCCGGGCTGTTGAAGTATCCCGGAATAACGATGGCACCAGAAGCCGGCTGGTAGTACTCGGTGATACTGACATCCCGCACCGGATCCAGTCCACCATTGGTAAACAGAACGTTGGAGATACGGGGATTCTGTCCACCAAAGTGCATATTGGTCAGGTGGACACCGTCGGCAACCACCTCGCTAGTAACCCAATCGCCGAACACGGACTTGCAGAAGTTCAGGTAGAAGTACATGGTAACACGATAGCCGAAGGGTTGGTCAGCAGAGTCCGCGGTCAGGAACCATCCGAACTCGGTACAGAACTGATAAACACGCTGACGAATTCCCAAGATGGCGTTTTCTGGATAGCCGATGTTTTCGAACTTGTGAGCTGCGACGGTAGTATCGAAATCGAATGGCATGCAGTCCAGGTACGAGTAGAAGTCTTCTATCCAGTTGGCGATCGTTTGCAAGTCAGTTACTTCGGTGCTGTTGTTCAACTGTTCGCAGAGATATTTCGTTGATTCTGTGTTCTGTTCGGACAGGATGGCGCGTTGGATAGCTTCCTTGATATTGTAGAAGAAGGTTTCCACGTCGAGCATGGTATCTGTATCGACCGGTTCGCAGGTGTTGAACATGTCGGTAACGGTGGTTGTCAAGCCAGCATCCATCAGGTTTTCGGCCGTGCGGAAAGCGCGCCAGATTTGGCTGTAGCATTCATTCGAGCCGAAGTCACGAATCACCTCACCGATCTCCTTGGCGTACTCTTTGAAGTTGAAGCGAGCTTCAACCTGTCCACTGGAAACCCAAGCACCTTCAACCAGATGCGGGTAGCGTTGACGCATCCACGTGGCAATGGCTCCAGCATAGCCAGTTCCGAGCAGGATGACGCGAGCGTTGTCGTCACGTACGACGTTGTGACGCACGTGATAGATCAATTCGGCTAAATCAACCATTGCCTGTTCTACAGTCAGGAACTGGAGATTTTCGACCGAGAGATCGCTGTGTAGAAAAGGAAGTTAGCAGTGATGTATGGAGGATGAAGTTTAAAATCTTACGAAACGGGGAAGCTGTGTCCGTAGTATCGGTGCTCGTTGGTAATCATCCAAGCATTTTCGTAGCTGGCAATGTCGTGGAAGTGTCCGTGTTCGATGTAGTATTGCTCCAGCGGCCAGTTTCCACCGACGAAGATGAAGATTGGGCCTCCCGGTTTGTAGAACTCATCGTTGGAATAATACTCAAATTCGAAGGTATCGCGATTCTGCGGGTTGAAATGATCGACGCGGGTGCGGAACTTGTATCCGATGGTGTGAGGGTTGGTCGATTTGTATCCCTCGGGAACGTGTGGAATCGGATATGACTCCAACATCTTCTCCACGATTGGAGAAACTCGGAGAGGTTTCTTCTCAGCAAGGGCCATCGCGGCCAATGCCAACAAGGTGACCAGAATAAGTCGGTTCGCCATCTTTTTTAGAAAGGAGTGCGATTCCTTCGACGATTCGTCAAAGACTGGCACAATGGATTGGTTGAAGTCATAAGGTTAGCTAGGGTTACAGATGGCGTAGAGTTTCAGGGATTTCTGGGGTCGTAAATATGATCTAATCGGGGGATCGTATCGAACCAGTCTGACAGCTGTACTGATAATAGGATTGTTGAATGATTTACCGTTTTTTTTTGATTGCGTAATAGCGCCGTAATCGAGACTGTAGATAACGGAGGTTTGTGGGATTTACCAGGAATTTTTCAAAAGGTTTCGAAGTATTGGAAGCAAACAGGGTGATACTTTAATAATTATCTTTGTATTTGTGTCTTGTATTACCAAATTACAACTAACTAGTGACCATGTCAAGATAACTCTGTTCTAATGATTTGCTTAAACTGGAACAATCGGTTCAAAAAGCCAGCTCTCGATGAACAGCTGTACATAGTGTTTGGCTTCGAGCATGGCGGGTGAGTCGTAGCCACTGATCGAGTACAGATCCTCAGTGTGAAAGTAACCCGGAATAACCATGGCGCTGGACCCTGCCTGGTAATACTCAGTGATCGAAACATCGCGAGAGGGATCGTAACCTCCGTTGGTAAACAGTACATTGGAGATCCGGGGGTTTTGACCACCGAAGTGCATGTTGGTCAAGTGGACTCCATCGACAACCACTTCACTGGTGAGCCATTCGCCGAACACGGCTTTGCAGATGTTCAAGAAGAAGTACTGGGTGACGCGATAGCCGAAAGGCTGATCCGGGGAATCCGCAGTCAGGAACCAACCAAACTCCGTGCAAAGTTGATAGGTGCGTGCGCGTAGACCATAGACGGAATTTTCCGGGTACTCGTTATCGGTGTATTTCAGGGTTCTTACGGCAGCATCAAAGTCAAATGGCATGCAATTTAGGTAGTCGTAGTGCTCCTGAACCCAAGCGCCAATTATGTGAAGATCGGTGGTTTCCGTACTGTTGTACAATTTCTCGCACAGTTTTGTGGTTGATTCTGTGTCCAGGTCGTCTAGGATTGCCGATTGCAAGGCAGTCTTGACGTGGAAGAAGAAAGTCTCAACATCCAGCATAGTATCCGTATCGATTGGTTCGCAGGTGTTGAATAGCTCCGTGACCGTAGTATTCAATCCAACATCCAAGAGATTCTCCGCCGTGCGGAAAGCCCTCCAGATTTGGCTGTAGCATTCATTCGATCCGTGCTCGCGGATCAGTTCACCGATTTCCATTGCGTACTCTTTGAAGTTGAAGCGGGCCTCGACTTGTCCGCTGGAAATCCAGGCACCATCAACCAGATGAGGATACCGTTGACGCATCCACGTGGCAATCGCTCCAGAATAGCCCCATCCCAGCAAAATGACTCGAGCATTATCATCGCGAACCACATTATGACGCAGGTGATGAACCCATTCGGCCAAGTCAACCATTGCCTGTTCGACAGTCAGGTAACGGAGATTCTCGACCTCGAGATCACTAGAGACAAAAAATCACATCCCAAGTGTTAGAACCCAATCTGTCCTAAAATCTAAATTCAAAATAAACTTACGGAGTAGGGATGCTGTGTCCATAGAATCGGTGCTCATTGGAGAACAACCACGCATGCTCGTAACTGGCAATGTCGTGGAAGTGTCCATGTTCAATGAAGTACGAATTCAGGGGGAAGCTTCCACCGACGACGATGAAGATAGGGCCTCCAGGACTGTAGTGCGCATCGTTGGAGTAGTATTCAAACTCGAAAGTGGCGCGGTTTTGAGGATTGAAGTGATCCAGACGGGTGCGGAACTTATAGCCAATCGTGCGTGCATTGGACGATTTGTATCCTTCGGGGATATCTGGCATTGGGAACACATCCAGCATCTTCTCTACGACGGGATCGACATTGATGGGCTTCCTTTGGGCAACGGCCACAGCGGCCAGCGCCAACAGGGCCACCAGCACCAGTTTGTTCGCCATGATTGAGAACGTATCTTCCAACTTCGACGGTTCGTCGAAAACTAATTTGGCTCAATTCGGTTACCCGACAGGAAATAGCATCGCTTTACGATAAATCAGAGGAATTCAATGGATCATAAACAGTGAGTTTCTAATCAGCCAGTCTACATCTGGGAACAACAAGCAGTTGCCGTTATCGGATCGAGTGGCATATTTGGTGGAATGACTTTACAAGGTTCCTGCTTGGCCACAGTACGCTTGAGATAAGCTACCTACTGACCAAGATTAGGCTGGATCGATCCGCGCAAGCAGGCTACTGGTTGATAACGTTTAATAGCGTGTTTCCAGTGATGCAATTATTTTGCCATATTAATAGTGGACTTTCCTGAATGACCTTCATGTGATTCCATTCGGTCGGAAGAAGCACCGAATTACCACTGTTTACGTTGAGCAGAGCTGATAGATATCATTTGCGTCGGACTTCGAGATCGAGAATTTCGAACTTATTGGGTACTTCAAGAGCCTTCGGAAGACTTTCAAGTTTTTGAAAAAGCCTCCAAAGGAATCACAGTGTAACCAGTAACGCTGGTAGATCACCTTTTCGTGGTGCGTAACTGGTATAAGGTCTACCACCGAACCCAAGTCCTGACAACTTCAAACTAGGAAACGTACGGTAAGAGATTTCCACGTTTCATCCATTTAATGGATTCTGAAGCATGGTGTTTAAATCTCTTCCAGTTGCAGTATAAAATTCTTCGCCAGAAAGCTGTTGAAATCAGCGTTCACAAAGAAAGATTTTAATTTAACGAATGCACGTGCAGAATTTTAAAATGCTGGTTCTTTTGTTTGGTAGCCATCTTAAAAACAGAATGCAAAATTCCAAAACCAAAAATGGAGAAAGATTTCGTAGACACACACCTTCGAAAATCGACGTTTGTTATTGTTGAAAGTGCACGCTAAACCAAGGGGTAATCAACTCTGCACACTGTGCCGAAACACAGCATGGCACACTATTCGGCTCTTTAGGACAAACGTTGGCAAGTAGGATACAATCAACATAATATAAAATGGCATTATTGTCGAGAGTTGACGTTTTTCTTTGTTTACTCCATTGGACTTCACATCGGGTTTGGATTCCAAGGAAAAATGCTGTGAGTATTTCCTGCACCTGTCTGTTTGTTCCATGAAACTAAGTTTATCACATCCGATTCGTAGTGAAAATACCAGCGGCTCGAGGTTTCGTCCAGAATAGCTTCACGTCAACAGAGTTCTTCCATACTATGGTCGGTCGAGATTGTCGATACGACAGTCAAGATGGTCAAAATGGGTTCCCTCCAGCAATGGTTGGTCAAATGCCTGTAAGATCGTCCAATACGACGGTACGGTGCGGAATGCGATCGGCGAACTGAATGGACAAAAATGCTCTGAATGACGACAATTTTGTGCGAGCTGCGAAGGATGTTTGTTTTGTTTTACAAGGTTGTTATGCAGAACGAACGATAAAGAAAAAAAAAACCACATCATAAGCGAGGGGAGCGACACATCTAAATCTCAATTCTAGAGGCTCAAAAAATCATCTACTTGCATCGAGCATCATCTTTTTGCAGGTTATCTTCAGAATCGTCATCAATATTCTTTATATCTACTCAGCGTGCATGCAGCTAGCCACATCAAAACACAATCTTTCCTGATTCGTAGATGGAGTCACCCCCTCGATCATAGGGGGTGTGGGTGATGGGTTTTGTATTTCGGCCAAGTTTAAATCCCAGTCTTGCCAAGGGTATTCGGGGTTGAAAATTGTATCGTTTCTCCTACGTTTTACCTTAGGTATCCTTGCCAGTCATTGGTTTCAATTGGTATGGATTTCGATGGGAAATCCACAGGATTTTACAGGGACGTCCATACAAGTCTCAGTACTTATTGGGGGATGTCGATACGCATTAACCACAAATATTTCGTCAGGTCTGGAAGATTGCCTTAGCAAAACAGTATAGGATTTATAGGAACAGATCAATGCAATCAAAAATGCAATTACATTCTATTCCGTGAGTACACCCCATCATCAACGATCCAATCTGCACTCTTCTGTTGCACTAGTTCGTCTCAAAAGGATCCGGTGCGATGCGATGGGTGGCCTGCCAATCAATCAGTTATAACAACAATCAATACGAAACTAACGATTTTAAATTGGCTCACTACTTGACTAACCTATTGGTCCCAAGCAAACGATTAACGTATCCCATTCTAGTCGAAATTCTAGTACTACGCAATGTTTGTTTTGATTAGCTATGAAAGTTTGACAGATAAAATGAGGGGTTATTGGTTTTTCCTATGTTTCGAGGGGTGAATCGATTAGCTTGGGACCGAAGAGAGTACCAGAGCTGAGCCAAAAAGTTGAGCACGTTTCTTCGGGACCTGCTGGTCTTAGGGTTACCTCTATGGTTGAACTGCAGATGCGAAGTTTTTCTGGATCGTGCACCATTCCCGAGATATGACAGATATGAAGTGGGGGGTCATTTGATGGTATTCACTGGTGGTACATTAACCGTTGGTTTTGATTTGAGGTACCATGTGGAAGGTATAACATCTGCAAAGGATCGTGAAATTGATAGTCTTGAACGTGTGTAATTGGGTGATGGTAGAAGACATCACAATCTGCGATACGATAGGCTTGGGTGATGTCATCGAAGTTGCATAGTTCTGAGTCGATCAGAACTGTTTCGAGTATGTTGTTTCTAGGGTGGAAGGGAAATTTCGGCCGTTCGAGTTCTGGGTTTGATTTTGTCGGGGAGCATTTTACTGGCAGCTGGTGAAAATTTCATCCACCGTCCGTTTCTTGTGGGCGGGTCGTATAGGTTCAGTCCCTCTTCCACTGCCCAATCCGCTTTTATTCCAATGAGAATGAAGCTTAATATTTGATGATGATGATCTTGAATACTTTAGAGCAGGCACAATGTACTGTAATCCCACGGAAATTGTCCACCTTTCACTCTGGTCGTCTATCTTGGAGATCGGGAGCATGTACGAAGATTTCCCAATGCGTTGGAGATTCACCCTGCCGTAACGGAATATTGAACCGCTTCGATAACGGTGGAAAGCTCTGCAGAGTACCTTCTGGTTGGCAGATGACTCCTTCGCCAACTTGGACTAATGCTACCGTTGAATCGTTGAAAGGGTTCTATAACATTCCCCAGAAAACCATTCCCCAGAATCTCATTCCCCAGAATGAACCATTCCTCAGAATGAACATTCCCCAGAAAAGTATGCCATGTATTAGATTAACTATTTTTGTTTATTATAGTCACTCCTGGAATCTTCTTTCGCGTATATAAAAAGAATAGAAAAACTTCTTAATGGCGTTTTTTTTTCTTTTTTTTTGTAAAATATTGTTTATTTAGGTCTTGCAATAAATAATATATTCAAGATATTTAAAAAATATATCAATCTTCTAGAGTCAAAATGAAATCAAGCTCGTCTACATCGATTCTATTATTAATATTCACATTGACAAAGTTGATGTACTTAATGAACGTTTTTAAAATATAATTTCTTCTCGCTGTTGTCATGTTACCCAAGATTGGCCGTACAAGATCGTCGAAGCTCAGCCTCTGCCAGCCGCCGAGCGTCGTCGTCAATTTTCGCTGGATGTGTGCCCAAGCTGCAGCAACTCGAGGGCATTCGCAAAACTTATGTTGTAAAGTCTCGATTCCTACCGCACAGTGCTGACAGTTTGGGTCGTTTGCACGGCCGATGACGTTCATCAGTCTACGGTGCTCCGTCTTCTCGTTCACTAGCAGGTAGAGATCAGTACGCTGCCTCGACGATAGCCTTCTCGATGATATGTTCATCCAGATCTTTTTCCAATTGATGCCTGGATGGTTTCGTTCCACTCTGGGTAGCTCAGTTTGTTCCAAGTAGAAACGATGGATTTGATCGCTGGAGGGGTTTTGTTGGATGTGGTGTGGAAATAAGGGAATTTGCTGTGAGAGAAGTTTTAGGCAAGGAAGATCGGCGGGGGGAGGAATATTTTGGGCGAGAAGGGACTGATAATAGGGAAGGGAAACGATCTCCTGCAGGTGACGATTGACTAGAAGTGCTTTGCATTTGATCGCTGGCAGTTGCAGTTTCAATCCACCCTGCTCTCTGCTGCGCGCCAACTGCTGCATTGGGACTCGTGCGGGTAGCCCACGAAAAAAGGAAAATCCCCATCGTTGATGTCAGCTTCGCCGTGTGAGCACATTGCGGTGGAATAACAGACGAGAGGTACCACACCTTCGCTGTAATGAAGATGTTCAGCAGTAGCACTTTCTGCTGCAGGGAAAGGGAGCGCATGTTATGCAACCATATGAGTTGCGAGATCCTCGATACTAAAGAGTCCCAATTTAGTTTAACCATCAGTCGCACTGAGTTGGTGAAAATAACGCCCAGTACCTTGACATTCTCCTTTGTCTGCAGCCCTGGTATCGTCAGTGGATCTCCATTGATAAAACCAACATCGATCGCCACTGTTTTCAGTCGATTTAGCTTTGCCCCGGATACGATCTCGAAGCTACCAAACAGCTGATAAATACGGTCGATCGTGTGTTTTGAGGTGGCAATCACCGTGATGTCATCAGCATACGCAACACAAAGGTCACCAGCGCATACACGCTCCACCCGTGTGAGGAAGGGATGAAGATAGAGCACGAACAGCAGCATCGACATCGGGTATCCTTGATGTACGGACCGTTCTATACGGAACGGCTCTGAGAGGCACCCATTCACTAGCAGCCGTGATAAAGAGGCAGCAGCGACTCGAGAGAGCCAACAGACGAAACCCTGGTCGAAGCCCAGAGAGAGCAAGGTCCGATTCAGTAACTCATGAGAGACCCGATCGAACGCGTGGATCAACTTCCCCTTCTGCTTCCTCGCGATTAGCTGCGCAATACGATATTTGAGCGAGAGTGTAGCTTGGAAAATAGAACGGTCGGTATTTGCGCATTTTTGAGAGTCGCTCAGGACTCGATGGATCCGCAGTACTCGTTCCAGGCGGGCCTTCATCACGCGGGAGAGGATTTTAAAATCGACGTTGAG